ACAAAAAAAAATTAAAAAAACCTTTGTGAAAACTTAATATAAAGTTGAAAGTGAAAGTGAAAATTAAATTCTTCTTTTTTAAAAAAATAACGAGAAAACGAGTTTTTTCCCCGCATTTAACTGCCATCTTCGCTCAGTTTAAACCAATAGGAGTGTTTGATACTTATGAATGCCGTTACGTAGTCACCATGATTTTTCACGCATCGACAAATAAATTAATCGACGAGAAAAATCACTTTTTACGCGTCTCGTTCCTTTCCTTCCTACCTCACGTACCTTACTCGTCACGCTGCTCGCTTATTTCCCCGTCGTTTCACTTGCGCACGGTAATAATCGAACAATATCGCTTTAAGAAATATGACAAACTTCTCCATTATGGTTAGATCTTGTTTGTATGATTAAATTTTGATTGCACCGGGGTTTAATGTACTTTCGTATTCTTATAGCCGCGTTAACGCGGTTTTAATATCAAGAGAATCTATAAAGAAGACCTTGAGTTTTTGTTGCATGATAAAAAATGTTTTCCAACAAGTTTTTGTCATTACAATTTGTCGTCAACAGTTTCTTGGCAGATTAGTATCTGAAAAAATTTCGAGTGATTCATTGCGATAAATATCTCAAAGGAGCAGTATTCGTATTTTCTCGTGTAATTTTTTTCAATGGGAAAATAATAAAATTGTAATACATGAATAAAGATGATTCTTGATATTATTTAATGGCCACGTGTAGAATTTTAATGTTAATATGTTAACTATCGAGACGGTTGAAAAGATAAAAAAAGATCTATATCCAGGATATATAAAGCAAGTCAATTGTTTCCGGAAGTTGTTGCAGATCGACATTATCATAAAAATCTTATGTATTATACACGAGGAGGAAAAAAAGAAAATCGATTCCTTGATAATACGTTATAGATAAAAAATATGAAGAATTTTTATCGGATTTTTTTTTTTCATTCGATTTTTTTTAATATCAATCATTCCACATGAAAGAGCTGCTAAATGTTTTCTAATTTTCTTTCTTAGTAACTTAATAACAAAGTACGTATGAATTAAAATCCTATTACAGCAATTGTAAAATATCTAACGTAAGATCACAATGAATTTTTAACAATCTTTTCTGTTTGACACTACAAATCATTTCCATTCATTACGTTCCCACGTAGCTTAAAATATATAAACAATATGAATAAGAATAACTGTTCAACAATCTTTGCCATCCTTTTGGGAACAATGATCCACGATTTGGAAATTCATGGATTATTTATAAAATTATCACGATACGAAATAAAGTAAAACGCTTTAAGTAAACTCCAATTTATCTAATATGCATATAGATTACAACAGTTCATAATCGTATCGATATAATTAGCGAAATCACGAAAGAGAAAGAAAATCGGTTTGTCCGTGTCACAGTCGGCTGGCCAGTCGGGATCGACCATCCGTGAAAATTTCACCGATGTTCGCGACGTTACAGATTTTCGAAAGCCGGGAATCAACGTCGGATCGCGACGCAATGTTCGTTCGATCGTCGATTCTCCACGACGACGAGAGAAATCGATCCTCAAGATCGCCTATTAAGGGGAGAACGTAATTATTCCCTCGATTATACAGTCGATCGATATCGACCACGATACGCGTCGATTCCCTCTTTTCCTTTTGTCCTGTTTCTTCACCGCTTTTGCGGCTTTCTTCTCTTCCCCTATCGTGTTACGTAAATCGCGTTGCCTTACGAATTATTTCCTAATTTGCTCTATATTCTATGTACGTCATCGTTGCTTCTTTTTTTTTTTTTTTGTAATTTTTTTTTTTCATTCCAACGATTTCACTTTTGTTATTGATTTAAATGATTTAAATCGTTTGGTTAATTATATATATCGGCAAGAGTCATTTTTTATACGAACTCTTCGATTATTAATATTCCTATATTTGCAGGAGCAAATTGAAAGATAATCTAAGAGGGAACAACTCGTCTTGCCAAGAAATATAAAAGAATTAATGGAAAATCTCAACAATCTCTTCATGTTTTAAACCGGTCATTAGGTAATTGAAAAATTGTACAAACGGTCAATATAAGCATATAATAATAAATCATTATGTTTATATTTATTTCTGATTAATTGTATGCTCAGGGAAAATTGTAAATAATAAAATGAATTATTAATATAAATTTCTCAGTGACGAAAATTTCAGCATTGTAATACCTTCGATAAAAATGTACAAACCAATTGCCAAACACTACCTCATATTTGGCCCCTTAGAAGGAGCAGGAGTCGGTAATTCTAACTTAACTGAAATCGAGACGATTATCGTGCCTCTAAAAAGCCACGAAACCTGAACGAACGTGAAACCAGTAAGGTGAACGTTGAAAATTATTGTCCTATCTAGTCACGGATACTTGACTGACTACATAACACGAGAAGTCGTGCACTGTGGTAAAAGGAGCAATTCTAAAAGCATAGAAATCTCCCTCTCTATTGGTCGCATCGCACTCTCTTTTTCTCGCATGCCTTTGCATATTTATCTGCGACAATGCTTTGCACTGTCAAGAAGAATTACTTTGCACTCTCGAATCAGATAAGTAAACTTTCGTTGAACGAAAAGTTTTTAATCCTTTGTTTTTGAATCATCAGTGAAGAAAGCGCATCATTTATCATTTCCATTATTTTATTACGTACTTTCTTGTCACGTACTTGTGGTATTCTTTAAGTAGTATGAGGTTATTGGCTGCGTTATTACAATATTTTCATTACGAATCGTTTAGAAATGCAGGAAATATTTTTATTTGAATGTTCAGATTTCTTTGTTACTTTATTATAATAATATATAATATATCGTGATTGCTACGTATTATTTATATAAAATATATAATATATAATTTACAATTTTTATTTTTTTAATTTTCTTTTTTCACTTTGCCATACATATTTTCTGTGTCATGTTCAATTTGCCAAAGGATATTATTGGTTAAGATTGTTTTATTACTCCATTTTTATGTATACATAATTATTGCATTGCAAGTATTCAGTTTTTTTTAAACAAAATTAATTATATGATAGGTTTAATAATAAGTATGATTATAGACAATATACTCACTGATCTGTATATATTTATTCAATTATTTGTTAAATGTTCTTATTGATGATTATGGTAATTTTTGATCATATTAAAATCGAATTTTCTCTTTGAACAAAAAAAAAAAAAAAAACAAGATATTATTCTTGAATGTGAATATAACTATGATTATTCCAACTTTCTTTCAAATGGTATGCTTTATTCAACCTCGACTTTCTTTAAGAATCGTGAAAGTATCGAAATACGTGTAATTTATTGTCAGATCAATTTATCAGTTGTTTAATTCTATCGAAAATTCATATGAATAAAATAAAAAACAGGTATAATTGAAGAAATCATCGTTTTGTTAGTCACTTACATTATATACAAATACGCTAGCATAGTATAAATTTAACCTTTTAACACGTGTCTACTTCACCCACGATGATTTACAATTGCATTCAATGCGTTCAAAGATTGTCGAGCGTAGAAAATTTATTTGATTCCAATTCAATTTATCTTATCTTTAACACTCGTGCTCGAATAGATTAATTGAGATACTTTCTCTAATTTGCATACATATTTTCAAGTGATTACTCTTTGTAATTTTAACTCGTGAAACAGATTTTTATTTTTCGTTAAAGTTGTTCTATTGTCTAACTGAGTTTTCAAAAAGCTTTTGACAGGAAATTAAAAATGAACGAATTTATTAATACATTTAGTACAAAATAAAATTTATTAGGAAATTAATATATTTATTTATGTAATATATTAATATAAATAATATTCTATTGACATTTTCTTTCTTTAGGAAAGAATATATGCATAAATTGTTGTTTTTATATTTTAAATGTCTATATTTCTAAATAACTTCGTACATTATTTCGAAAACTTTACCAGATATTTCGTATCGAAAATGTAATCATTAATTTATAAAATTCGATAGAAGAAATTCTCTTGCTTCGTGGAACAAAATTCTTTCATCAGAAAATTAAACGACGATGATTTAACTATTATCAATAATAAGACAAAACTTTCTATAGAATCTTTTTTAGTTGAATAGAACACCCTCTCGTTTCTCACGGAAAAACTATTATATTCATTTTGGTTTCGAACAGGGAACTTTACGATTCTCAATTTTCAATCGAGTATGATCAAAGATCTTGGTAATTGATCGTAGAAACCGCAAATAACTTTCTCTGGTTTTTGTAATGAAGTTTGTCGTGACTAACATTTCATCGTTCCATTCCTTTCTTCAAATATAAATATAAAAATAATTCTAAAGAAAGAAAGCTGTGTTTATAATTTAAAATAAAAATGCAATAACTTGATGCAATTTTTTGCAATTCAAAATAACAGCAGTTTCAAAGATTTTTATTATACCTTAACTACTATATTCGCACGTATTAAAATTTTCATCTTATTAAAATATAATATATACAGCCGCACATTCAAAATCCAATCTTTCAAAATAAAGAAAAAATTATTCTAGAATAAATTTTCCATGCATCGAAAGTATCGCATTTCTGAATGGTGAATAATACGAGTAATAATTTATCATAAACAAACACAGACTAAATTCTCATCTATACGCTACTCAAGGATAATTAAATCTATATCTCAATCTAAACTTTACTCAATCTCTTTACTCAAAAAAAAAAAAAAAAAGAAAAAAGAAAAAAAATATAAAAATTACAATTAGGTCAGGTGAATTGAACATGCGTTTATAAATCCGAACGTTTCCTCGAGGGTGACCGCATTTTTGCCAGTTTATCGACCTGAACGGACACAAAAGTAGAAAATGGCCACCGTGATTGAATGGAATTGGCGGTGATCGAGATCCATGAAAATATTTCGATATTTTGCCCTCCACTTCCCGGTCAACTGTTCAGACGTAATAGCAACGACAGGTTCCACGGATCAGTAACACGTTCACTTTCTTTTCAGGTGTCGACTAGCAGAACGACTTGTTGGCTGTTGCTCGTCTGCTTGATCGTGCTTCTCGGAACTCTCCACGATGCAGAAGGTAATCACTTGACTTTCCATTAATACGAGGTTTTTTTTTTTCCTTCCTTTCTTATTTTCTATTTCTTAACATTTCGTTTGTCTCGCGATTTTGAATAAAAAATATTCGATATTCGAAGTATTTGAACTTATAGTTATTTTTTTTAGTTGTTTATTAAATTATTGGATCTTATTAAATTTTTTTATCGAAGAAGAAAAAGATGAAGAAGAAGGAAAATTTCGTTCACAATATTTAATATTGAATTAATAATAAAAAAACATGATCCTATGATTCTATAAATTAGATAATAATTGTTATAACGTGCAATTTAAATTGATATTGATACATTTATGAGACATTTATTATCTTTCAACGAGTATTTCATATTTTTCCAAAGCAATATCCCAAAAAACAAAAGATTAGATAAGATTTTTAGAATGTTTGAGAACACTCGTTTCGAAAAATGAATAAAAAAAAAAAAAATCGAAATATGCAATTTGCAATTGGAAATAATGACTGAAACAGGTACAAGAAAAAGATTTCGCAGACCAGCAACCGCCGCCCCATCGATCTCGAACGATCAGGAAGTCTCGGCCAGTGTGAACAGATTCAAGGTCACACGAAATCGTATCGGCAATAAAAGCAAGAAGAATGAAATTCAAACCGATAAATCGGAGGACTACAAGGTAATTATGATAATCATCATCACGTGCAACACACGAATAAAAAATTTTATAACCTGTTATAAAAATTTATATTTTATACTTAATTAAGGAATTTTTATTTCCATTTCGTTCGAATCGAATAATATAATTTAAATACCTAACTAAATTTTTTAACTCATTTATTTTTCAATACCATAACATTCGTTCAAATTGAATACAAATTATATTAATTTTTCTAATTTTTCTATTTACTACATAAACAAATATTTAATTTATCTCGAAATATATACTTTTACTCGCGATACATTTATTTATTTATTATTATATATCATTAAAAACAAAAAGAAAAAAAGAACGAAAGACGAGAGAATATAATCGTAATGCAATTTCGATCTGCGCAGCTTGTATGCTATTATACAAACTGGTCTCAATATCGGACGAAAATTGGAAAATTCATGCCAGAGGACATACAGCCAGACTTGTGTACGCACATCGTGTTCGCATTCGGCTGGTTGAAGAAAAACAAGCTGACCAGCTTCGAATCGAACGACGAGACGAAAGATGGAAAGATCGGATTGTACGAGCGGGTCGTTAATCTAAAGAAAGCCAATCCCTCTTTGAAAGTTTTGCTCGCGATCGGTAAGGAATTTTAAAAGGTGTACTCGTTTCGAAAATAATTGAACAGATGAATATCTATGTATCATTTTTTTAAATTATTTCTTTGAGAGAAAAATGATATGATTAGCAATTTGAATCAGGTGGTTGGTCGTTCGGCACTCAAAAATTCAAAGACGTGTCCGCGACAAGATACGCGAGGCAAACCTTCATCTACAGTGCTATTTCCTACCTACGAGATCGAAATTTTGACGGTCTTGACATCGATTGGGAATACCCAAAGGGGGGAGATGACAAGAAGAATTACGTTCTTTTGTTGAAAGGTATTCGTGTTTGTAATAATAATAATTTTTTAATCACAATTTTATCGTTGACAGTTTGTCGTTGTTAATCGATCAATCGATCTTTAGATAATTGTTAGATTCTCACGTAATTATTTACATTTCCAGAGCTTCGAGAAGCGTTCGAAGCAGAAGCTCAAGAGAAGAAGATGCCGAGGCTTCTTTTAACAGCTGCTGTTCCGGTTGGTCCTGACAACGTTAAGAGCGGCTACGACGTACCAGCAGTTGCAAGGTGAACAAATCTAACGAATTTTTATCATTGGAAACAATTTTTCCTCCAATTCATAATTATTCTTGTTCAAATTTAAAGCATCCTTTTCGAACCATTTATTTTTATCAATACTTCTTAAATTAATTCGAATAACGTAAGCTGATGACCTTACATAAAAATAATACATTCTTCGTATAAAAAAATACAAGATTTCATCTTGCCAATAAATCAAATATCGAAAGTGAAAAGATACGAAAAAATATAGTATGAGATACACGTAGAAATCGCGCGATAGAAAAACGTAAGATAAAATAAAATAGCAATAACAAATACATCCAGTTACCTGGACTTCATCAACCTGATGGCGTACGATTTCCACGGGAAATGGGAACGAGAGACGGGTCACAATGCGCCCCTCTACGCCTCGTCGTTGGACTCGGAATGGCAGAAACAATTAAGCGTGGACAACGCTGCATCGATGTGGGTCCGACTCGGGGCCCCCAAAGAGAAACTGATCATCGGCATGCCGACTTACGGCCGTTCCTTCACTCTCTCAAATCTTTCCAATTTCCGTGTTCATGCACCTGCGAGCGGCGGTGGAAAGGCAGGCGAATACACCAAGGAATCCGGCTTTCTTGCCTATTACGAGGTATAAACTTCTTCTCCTTCTTTTTTTCCCCTCCCCTCCTTCATTCTGATTAACTGTTTTTATTAATATTATAATAACTCGGGACGATCGTAAATGTAAATTCAAATGGGACGCCTCGTTCGAGGAGATCGTTCGATTAGACGGCCCTCTTCGTTTCTTGCGGCTGTGTGGTAATCACACGGGTTCGATGGTGGATAGCAAGCAATTTGTTTGCCGACTCTTTGGATGGTTTTAAGTGGGTAGGGTAGAAACGTGTGTTGGATCGTTGGATTGGATTGTCAATGGTGATTGTAGGAAGAAATGTAAATATATGGGATTGTTTCTTTTTTAAAGTAATTTTAATGTTTGGTTAATATTATTTAAGCAAACAGATGATTATGAAATTTAAATGAGGAAAGTGAAAATCGAGTTCTAGATGATGTAAGAAGAATTCTTTTGTTTTTTTTCTTTTTTTTTTTTTTTTTTGAAAAGCGAATATTAATGAAATTGCTCGACTCAAATGATTCGTTCGTGCAAATGAACTTGTGCAACTTTAGATCTCATTCTTATTGACAGGAATATTTCATTATTTATTAAGAAATTTAATTAGAAGATGTTCTTTCTATTTGTTTTCATTATTAAAGTTTAAATAATCATTAGAATAGAAGAAAATTTTAAAAAGTCAACAGCATGACTCTATATATCGAGAAATTTCTATAAAAACAAAATTTTCTAGACGATTTAAAATAATAATAATTTGTATTGTGTACGAATTAACAATACAATTAAGTATCTTTTTCTTTTATTTTCCACAGATCTGCGAGATGTTGCAAAACGGTGCAGCCTACATCTGGGACGATGAGATGAAGGTGCCGTACATGGTGCAAAATGATCAATGGGTGGGCTTCGACGACGAGAAATCTATTCGACTCAAGATGGATTGGTTAAAGAGCAAGGGTTACGGTGGTGCTATGGTGTGGACGGTTGATATGGACGACTTCAACGGCACGGTGTGCGGTGGAAACGTCAAGTATCCCTTGATCGGCGCAATGAGAGAGGAATTGCTTGGAATTTCGAGAGGACCGAACGCCAAGGACGTTGATTGGAGTGCAGTGGCTAGCACCGTGTCCGAAACCATCTTGAAGAAACCGGAACCTTACAAGATATTGGTCTCAGATGTGATCAACAAGGCGAAGAAACATCAAAAACAAGCAACTCAACTCGTCATTAATCTTCCTACCAATGGTAAAATTTTTTAAATGACCCTTTTTCCAATTGAAATATTGTTTTAAAAAGTTTTTTATTTCTCAATTTTTTAAGAAGAATTATTATTAAACAAGTCTTTGGAACGAAATTTCATTATTTATATTATATTACATTTGTTCAATTATACATGCAGAAAGGCCAGCCCAATCTATGTGCTACATGACGAATTGGTCGCACAAACGGCCTGGAACTGGAAAATTTGTACCAGAGGACATCGATCCGACTCTCTGCACCCACATAGTCTATTCATTCGCAACGTTGAAGAATTACTTGCTGGCAGAAGAGAGCGAAAAGGATGGGGAGATGTACGAGCGACTGATGACTTTGCGCAACAAAAATCCTGATCTCAAGGTTCCCATCCGATTTCTTAAATCTTTAATAAAACACGACTTAATAAGAAGAAAATGTTAAAGGATCATATCAATCAAATTGAGAGATTCAATATCGTTTCAAAAATTGATTATTTCAATTATAAATCGTGATTTTTTTCAGATATTATTGGCGATTGGTGGCTGGGCTTTCGGATCGACCCCGTTCAGAGAATTGACCAGTAATACTTTCCGTATGAATCAATTCGTTTACGAGGCCATCGAATTCCTCAGGGAATACAAATTTGATGGTTTGGATGTCGATTGGGAATATCCACGGTAAATTTCGTAAAGTAATCCTTTTTGAATTAATTCTATTTCTCTCTCTCTCTCTCTTCTTTTTTTTATAAAAATCTATCGTATCAGGGGTGGTGACGATCGAGCTGCCTACGTGAACCTTTTGAAGGAACTTCGACTCGCTTTCGAAGGGGAAGCGAACAGTTCTGGACAACCGAAATTAATTTTATCGGCCGCGGTGCCAGCTAGTTTCGAGGCTATTGCTGCGGGGTGAATTTTTTCGTTCATTTGAAACATTTAAATTCAATTTAATCTCGTTCTTTTAATTATATAACATTCCTTTCTTCTTCCATAGATACGATGTACCAGAAATATCCAAATATCTGGATTTTATAAACGTGATGACGTATGATTTTCATGGTCAATGGGAGAGGCAAGTGGGTCACAATAGTCCTCTGTTTCCCTTGGAAAGTGCTACGAGTTATCAAAAGAAATTGACGGTGGTAAGTATTAAATTGTTGAACATTATATAGATGCATCACATGTATTAATTATATCATAAATTCTCGTGGTTTATTAATAATATTATAACATTTATGTTATATTTATAACAAATTATCCTTTAATTCATTATCAAAAATTAAATTAAAAAAAAAAAATTGTAGGATTACAGCGCAAGGGAATGGGTGAAGCAAGGTGCTCCAAAAGAGAAATTAATGATCGGTATGCCGACATATGGCAGATCTTTCACATTGGTGGACAAAGAGAAATTTGACATTGGGGCGCCTGCTTCGGGGGGAGGAACATCTGGTAATTTCACTAACGAATCCGGATTCCTCTCGTACTACGAGGTACTATACACTATCGCAACTTCTTGTGTCTCGTTAATCAGGATACTCAAAGTATGTATAGATTTGCAGCTTTTTGAACGAAGATAACACTACTCTAGTCTGGGATAGCGAGCAACAAGTACCTTTCGCGTACAGGGATGATCAGTGGGTCGGTTTCGATGACGAGAGAAGCCTTATAAATAAGGTGAGAGGAATAATTTAAATTACTTTTACGATAATACTCCTCGATAAATAAAATTTTATAAAAGAAGAATTAACATTTTTATATACTCGTACAAGTAACGAGTGGGAGAAATTGTAATATAATTTTAGGGAAGGATTCTATTAATCGTTATTAATCATTCTATCGATAAATATATATTAATTATATTAGATGCAATGGCTTAAAGAAGAAGGTTTTGGAGGTATAATGATTTGGTCGGTGGACATGGACGATTTTAAAGGAACCTGCGGAGCTGGCAAGTATCCATTGATCAAAGCTATGATGAAAGAGCTGCGAGATTATAAAGTGAAACTAGAATACGACGGTCCTTATGAGAGTCACTTGAGAAATGGAAGGTACACCACCAAAGATCGTAAGTATCTCGATTTTTAAATCATTATGATATATAATATATAATATATAAAATTCTTTTAAGCTTCCTGCTCGCGAATCTTGAAAAACTTTTTTCTGATTATTCAAAATTATCATCAGATTAAAATTTCTTCAGTTTAAAATCTATTAAAGTTAATACAATGTTATTAAAAATAATAAATTACTATTCATATTTATATAATTAAATTTGGATTAAAATCAAGAGAAGACTACTTGAAAGTGGGAATGTGATTTCCAAAATTTTGATCGATTTCACTATAATAGTGCAAATTTTAAAAGAAAATCAGTTGTTACCTCGATTGTTCCAGCGAATGAGGTGAGCTGTGATGAGGAAGACAATCACATATCTTATCATCCTGACAAGAGCGATTGCACCATGTATTATATGTGTGAAGGTGAAAGGAAACATCACATGCCTTGTCCTGTGAATCTAGTATTTAATCCCAACGAGAACGTTTGTGATTGGCCTGAAAATGTGGAAGGGTGTTTGCAACACACGCAAGCGCCACCAGTGTAAAAAGAAAAAAAAAAAAAAAGAAAAAGAGAAAAGAATGGAAAGAGACAAAAATTACATCTATTTAAGAATAATTTTCTGCGGTTGTACTTGTAAAAGTACTCGTGAAAGTTAATTAAAAAGAAAGTATTTGTAATTCGTCGAAAAACACGATAATCGACGAGAAATTTTGTTACCGAGAAATAATTTTTATCCCTTCTTCTTAATCCACAGCTTCTTCTTCTTCCTTTTCCTTTAAAAGGATTTCTTCTTTTCCCCGAAAGTCCTTTTATCTTCCACTGATTCTATCTGTCTACATGTTTTTCATTTGTATAAATCATGCACTGTGTTTAATTACTGCGATAGATATTGTGTTTTGTAAATAAAAATAAATAAAATTTCTTTAAAAAAAAAAAAAAAAGAAAAGAATTCGTATCTCGCTTGTTAAATGTAACAAAGAAAGAAAGTAAATTGTACGTACTATAAACTACAGTACTAGTTACAATAAATGGTTGGTTACAATTTTCGTAAGTAGTAAGATATTTAAAAAAAATCCTTTCATTTAAATTACGAAGTTAGATAGGATGTTTGAATATAAGTATGATTATTTGTACAATTAATTAATGTAAATCATTTGAATAATTAAGAAATACGCAATAACTAAAGATTAAGAGTTTAATAAAAAATATTATTTTCTTTGAAAAAAGAAAATGTAATAAATTTTGATATTTCGAAAAAAATACTTCATAATGTAATATTTAAAATAATTAAAATTTTATTTGAAACAAGTTTTCGTTGCTTTGGAATTAAATTATATATAGAATCATATTATTACAATTAACTATAATTAGTATAAAAAATTCTTTATTTTTTTAAACAAATTTCATAGTAACATGTTGAACAACTAATATATGTATACTACATGTATTAAACTTGTCACTCATGAGGATAACATTATTTGTGCGCATATGTTATTACGTTTTCTTATTAATGTTTCTATATTAAATTAAATTAATTAATTGCAATAATAATAACAATAACAATTTAGTATATAATTGAATACAACGAAGAAATTATATTGCTTTTCTACTTTATATCAGTCTTTGAATTGCATAATGAAAATTTGCATAAATTATTATGAGAATCAATGCTTATCTTTATTTCAATTTGTATTAAGATCTAATAAAAATATACTTATATATTCTAATGTATTGATATCTTGATAAATTCTTCACAAAAAATAAAAAAAGTAATATAATTTGATGTAACACATCATGATGTTATAAGAAAAGAAAATAAAAAATACTTTTATTTTTAATAATATCAAAATATTTTAAAAAATAAAATAGGTATTCTATTTTAAAAAATACCATTGTTAAATAGTATTACTATGATTCTTTCACACCACCCATTTTCTTTCTTTCTTTCATTCGTTCAAAATTTGAATTTAATTATATTTTAATTCCTATAAAAATTCCTCAATTCCTATATAGAGTTTATATTAAAATAAAAAATATTCAAAATGTAATAGAACAATGATGATAATCATCTTTTAATTTTATTACAAAGTAAACAATTTAATAAGCCACTATCGTTAGGAGAATAATATCCACAATGGCTAACCAGGTAGTGGCCAATCTCTCATAATTACCAGAACTAAGGGCAGAGGCTTGACAGGCAGTGTGAGGAGTTCCTAAAGTTAACAGAACTTTGTCAGAGGAATAAGATGGGGTGGTTTCGGTGCAAACAGCCCTTCCAGCAATCGTTCTTAATTGTCGGGCATCCGATTGCGAAGCAGTATGGATTTGTCGAGATTCTCGAAGCCATCTTCGCAACCATAAGCTGAGCCAAGCTATCTCACAATCGCATTCGAGAGGATTTCCTGACACTTGTAGGCCTCCTGAAAAATAACGTCACTGTTTCTTTGTTTTTAAATAATTGAAATTTCTAATTATACTTCTTCTATTATTATATTATTCAGATGATATATTTTATATTTATTTCATATTTGATGTGATTTCAATTTTGTTATGGATAATTTTTTATTTGAATATTAATTTTGAACTATTTAATTGCCAATAATATTATTAATTTATATTGTAGTGAATTTTATGATATGCTTCTTTGATTTCATTAACAAAGTACAATTTTATTATTATCAAACATCTTTTTATATTTTGTGATAATAAAAATTAAATATTAATCTTTCATTATATGATATATGCTAAATTTCTTAATTTATACATATAATCAATACTTATTTCAAATTCATTGAAAAATATAAAATATAAAATTTTATTCAATATAAAAACAAATTATTATTTCAAATTATATCTAATATAATTGAAGAAGTATCATGCATAATATTTTTATTCTTATTTCAAATAATATTTTTATTGTTACTCAGGATTGTCTTCACTCACCAGCAACCATATTGGTCCCAACACTCTCCCACGAAAGATTCCCATAGATAACCGAAGGACTAAGCTCGTTGATGTGATTGTTTCTCAAATCCAGTGTTAATTGAGAGAGTCTTTTCGTCAAGGAGAGGAACATATCGGACTGCAATCGACGGACTCGAGTATCTCTGATCCTCAATATTAGTTCACCACCTTCGATAGTAGAGAAAGCTTCCGAGGAGATTGATTCGAGATCATTACCAGAAATAGTTAATTCTCTTAACTGCTTCGTGAATGCATTTTGTATTTGATGTTTCAGCAAATGCTCCGTCACTTGTATCTCCACAGTTCTCAACGGTAATCCAATTAAAAGGGGTCGAAGGTGAAAACCATCCGCTTCAGGCCACGTTTGAATTCGAAGATGCTTCAAGTATTTTAAGACACGAAGGCAGTCTTTGTCCACCGATTTAGTTTTATTCAGATTTCGTAAGTTCAGCTTTTCTAATCTTGGATAACCCAGAAAGCTCTCCTTCATTAATACCTACATTTTTCAATTCATTGTTAGATATATCTTTCATTTTTCATACTATAATATAATAATTTAACAAAATATTGTAAATGAAAATAGACATAAATAAACATCTGAATACCTCTATTGGATTTCCTGACACGTCAAGTTCTCTCAACAGATTCAACTTGATGTTAGGCATAGAGGTCAACGAATCGTTCACGAACAACAGAATCTTCAAATCTTTCAAATATTGAAATTGTTTATCGGGTGTTGAATCTATGTAATTAAATGATAAATCCAAAACGTTTAAATTCATCAATGGAAGAAGAGGTATGTCTTTAAGACCGCAATTAGCCAAATAGAGTTGTCTCAATCCGGGCAAATAATGGAACAGCTCCTTAAAATTCGCCTGAAGAACATTTTGAGACACGTTCAGGCTCAAAAGTTTTCCCAAAGAGACGAACGAATTATCTGGCAGAATTGTTAGCCTGTTGTGCGCCAAATTTAAGGAAACCAATTGCGAAGTTGGGAAAGCAGTCGAATCTAGATGGTCCACGAAATTATCCGCCAAATTGAGATCCCTTAACGTATAACCAACCTCGAGAAAGGATGGCGATGGTACCACGGTAAATTTATTATTGCTCAGATCAAGAATTTCCAATTTTGTTCCTTCGAAAACGTCTCTGGGCAAGGATCTTATTTTATTTCCGGATAAATTTAAGATTCGTAGATTCTTCAAATTACGAAATTGTTCGGTAAGCAATTGTGCAATTTGATTTTCGCTCAAGTCTAATTGTTGCAACAATTCTAAACCGTGGAAAGATTGTTTTCTTAAACCTTCTATCTTGTTGTTCCGTATATTTAACGTTTCCAAGTGTCTTAATGTAAAAGTACCTGAAAAGATTTGTAATTACATTTTACCATCAAAAAACAAATCTTCTATTTCAATTACTCTTTTAAATTTCTTTTTAATTTTAAAAATATCTGTTATAATAATATCACAATGATGTCAAATAATGAATGGAATAAAAATAAAAACTTAAAAATTCAAAATTAATTTAACGACAATGTGTAAAAATATTACTCCACCTGGTTCGAGAACAACGATGAAATTACTTTGAAGATCCAAAATCTTCAGATCTGGGGTGCCATAAAACGTGTCCGCTGGCAGGTGACTAATATTATTAAAACTCAAATCGAGTCTGGTCAAATTGTTCATCAATCCTGCTGAATTTATAATAGAAATTGCGTTATAAGAAACATTAAGAGCAAAATCTGGGCCACCTATCTCCGAGATTGCGTCTAGATCCAACGTGGTTAATTTATTAAATTCCAAATGAAGGAAGCGCAAATTGGGCAAACCGTAAAAAACGTTTTTCTCCATTTTGGTGATACGATTGTAAGCCAACGAAATCGTCACCAATTCCGGACAATCCATGATCGAGTCAGAATTGAGAATCTTTATTCTGTTCCCAGTCAAATCCAAAGATCTTAGTTCTGTCAAATTGTGAAAACTGAATTCTGGGATGGCTTCGAGGAAATTGTAACCGAGCTTCACATCTCTCAATTCTGGATGCACGCTGGACAGGAATATTCGTTCTGGTAGATAATGAAGTCGATTCGATTCCAGATTGATGTAGCGTAATCGTTGGAAGGAGTAAAACGCGGTTGCCTCTATGGTCTGAAAGTTATTGTTATCCAAGACAAGCCAGAGCAGATTGGAAAGAGGCCTGAGAGCTCGTTGGGGAAACACATCAGTCGCAAAAGCGAAACTTAGTTCGAGAATGTCGAGACTCTCCTCGATGCCAATGAAGCAATCGTCGCTAAGCTCTGTTAAGTGATTGAAGGACAAGCTGAGTTCCTTAAGCTTTTCTGAAAGCATTCGTTTGAAATTAGTTCTTATTTCTTGTAAAGGAAATCTTCTGAAATTTTATTTGATAATCTTTTTTTTTTATAATTCGATTTTTTAAATATCTTTTAAATATTATTGTACACTTTTGAGATTAAAATACGAATCAAAAACATATATATTGAAACGAATTCTTTTTTAAAGAATAAACGATTAAATTGTAGAGAAATATCGTATAGAAAAATCAAATGTAATAAAATTGTGGTATGAAAAATCTAAATTTATGCTTACTTGCTCCTTTAAAGGTTTCATCTTTCAATTTTGTCAATATATTATTCCTAAGCAAGAGAATTTCAAGATCTTCTGCCCATTCAAAATCACCCGATTGAATATAAGAAATTTTGTTGTAACCGAGATTAAGGTGCAGTAACCTCTGGCATCTATTTTATATAATATCAAATTACTAAGTAATCATTTTACAGTATATTACATAAGATATTTTAGAAAATAATCAAATTTTAACATGATATTATTCTAAAGCTCAAAAATTATTTCTTTCCAAAATATAATAAAACTCTTTATTTATTTAGAAATCTAGAAATCTAATATAACTATCCAAAGTGAAAAAAGTTATATCTCATAAAGAATGCCTATATTTCTTTCATCA